CATACATTTTTCTTGTTTGTTTCTTTCTCCTGTACCTGAGTATTTATGCAGAAAACAAATAAGGAGAAGGGACATCTCCAGGCTATGCTTAAAATTTCTAGCTTACTGTAAATAGGCCAGAAGAGTTTGGGTATGTGAAAACCTTAAAGCGTAACTGTAATTGAGGTTGAATTATTAGAATTGCCAGCACATCAGCAGCAGCATTCTCAGTTACATTTAATCAAAACAACATAAAAAACTTACTAGTGCATTAGTATCTAAACTTATTCCTTCTGGATGGAAATTCACAAAAAGGAACCAAGCATCTTTCTTTGAGCTTTTATGCTACGCAATCATTAATTGACAGCAAAATGTTAAAATAATATAAGCAGAGAAATAAAAATCCTTTTCTGAGGTGCCAGGCATCTCCCTCTTCTATTGATTTTAACGGGAATGATTTTGATGAGAGCTGAAACTTAGCAATCGTTTGAATCACGCTTCACTCAGCCTGATGAATCACCACAGATTTGAAAACTGCAACCTAGCACTATAGGTCCTACCTTAGTGTCCAGTGCACTCACCTACCCTTTCATTGTGGGCTTACCTCCCAACTTCTCTTATTCAAAGCTATCCTTCCCCATTTTAGTTTGCAGAAATAAGTGCGTTGTAAAAACAGCATTTCATAACTCCATGACAGTATAAGCAAAAAAGTACTATAAAAGCACAGTTGTTAAAAGGTAAGGTGCATCCCCAAGAATATCATTTAATCCCCATTACTTTGTGAGAGACTACCTCTCTCAAGCAGGAAAAGCAAAATCCAGATCAAACATAGGAAACAGAAGAGGGGAATAATAAGTAACTTACCTTTTTAAACATAACTAATGAAATAACAGCAGATGCTGTGAAAAGTGCAGCTATGATTATCATCATAATGCCAACAGGGATACTCTTATTAAGACCAGTAAGAGATGAAATCCACCCACTGAAGGAAAAAGAAAAGACAAACTTTACTAGCACAGCACATGAATCATTCAACCACAGGTATCCACATCAAGGGAAGCTTTATAACCTCCTGGTTCTGATCAACTGAATATTTTTGAAGAAAAAGTCATGGAAATTATACATGAGCATATTTCTGTTCTATAATAAGCTTTTACAGCTTAGTTGCCATTTTCCCAATGAATGCAGTGAAACTATAAGGAAAATTTTAAAGATGAGGAGAGTTGTGAAGAAATTGAGAGACATTAGAGAGTTACTCATCACCTTTTGGGTTTTTTTTGGTCATACTATCATTTCAGAATAATTTAAGACTACATGACTTCGTGGAAGAGAAAATGTCCCTAAAAAGATAGCTTCTAACTTCTTCAAAAATAAAACAAAAACATGCCACACACACAGAGCTTCTATGTGGGAAAACTCATTTAGTTATACACACAGTGAGATGCTTTCTCAATTGGGGTTAATATATTTTTTTTTAAGTAGATAGTGTCAAATTAATTAATAGAAAAGATTGCTATATCAGTATCTACTTCAAACATTTCCCCGTTCTTCAAAATTGAAACACCGACAAAAAAGTACAATATCAAACTTGAAGCCACAAAAAGCAGGTTGCCTTAAGAAAAATAAAACATTAAGATGGAAAAGATTCTTCCACTGAAAAAAGCAAAAAATTTCTGTAAACCCAAACACCCTTAAAACTTTCCTCTACTTGTTTCAAATTGCTTTGATATCCCCTATGTCCAACTGGACTCTACCACAGAACTTCAAAATCCAAACTGTAATTAGCATCTTCTGATGATCTGGCTACTTTTCATACCCCTTCCCCAAGTATCCTTAAAAG